ACAGCAACAGAATTCTGAATTGCAAAGGGGAAAAATCAAGCCCACGTGGGAGAAGAGGTAGCAGGAATTCATCATGTGCCAACTGCTTTGAGGGAAAAAGAGCACAATCCAGTTTAAAGCCTTATTTTAAATTAGTCCTGTGCACTAATTTTCTGCTTCATTTTATTGATGCAATTGATGCTCTATTTCAACACATCTTGGAAATACATCGCACTGAGCGTATTTCCTTCTGACATATAATTTTTCCAATAAATACCAGAGAAATGATCATTTATTACAGCATATTTTTCACATGCAAATTGTCTTACATGTTTTTTTTCTGTGGTTTTTTTTTGCTATATTTCGTCTCTGCAAGCAAATATTGAATTCTAAAATCAAGCCAGTATCGTAGTGTCTATGGTATATTAGTACACTGGTAAGCTTGGCATTCCAGTGGTATTTGAGAGTGTCCAGAAGAAACATTTTTTCAGAGGGACACATAGCACGGGAAAGTAAATGTTGCTGGGGACACACACCAGGAATTTCTATAGCGTCCTAATTTCCAGAAAAGACAGTATAAAAATAAAATAAAAATGGAGGCTTTTGACTGTCCACTAAAGTACAATTGTATTGTATGCTCTGTAATTTCTGAGCAAATTTCCTCCTTGTAAAGAGCCTGTACACAGCATGCATGCTTTTTAACTTCTATGGCTGGTCTTAGGAACAAAACTAAACCTTTTTTTAAGGGCAACATAAAATATTGTACTGGGTTTCTGTTGGGACTCTGGGTTCATGGAGCTATTTCCAATTCCAGAGTTTTACAAATTAATTATTATTTACCTTGGTGTTATGGATGCTGTAATAAATAACAAGTGACTAGATGAAGATGACAGAGAATTACATTTCTGAGTCCGCAGTTAAAACACCAGGGTTCCTAAACTGTACAACAAATGTGATTCTGACAGTAGCTGTATCAGATTTTGGAAAAACTGTTATTTATATTAAACCTCCTCTATTTCAAGTTTTAGATCAGGCTCAGCTGTCCCCTAAAATGGAGACTAATGCTCTGCTAGAGCATAGAGTACTGTGCAGCTCTTCCAATGACAAATACCGTAGATAAAGTCACCGCTCAGTTTTCCTGCAGGCAGACAATCCAAAGATCATGCCTCTTCCGGTGCAAAATACAAAGAAAAACAGCATTAGATAAACCTTGTTTCCTGGCAGAAATGGCCATAAATTTCTCAGTTGGAAGTCCTGCATAACACCAAGGAAATCCCTGAACAGACACCTGATTTACATTAGTATAAATGAGCACAGAAAGGCTGTCATAGATGTTTTTGTCTTTTCCCTTTTCCTTTCCCTGTGTTGCATATTATGCTTCAAGAATATAGGAGAAATTATTAAAGGTGATTCATCAGATTCCTTTAGATTCAGGTTTAAAGGCAGTCTAACAAAATGGCACTACAAACTCCCCCCTTATTAGTGCTGGACGTGCCTTTCCTGCAAGGCTGCTTCAAAGCGACACAGTTCTTTACAAAAATGAGAGCTTGGAAATGTTTAAATTTACTTTGTAATTAATTTCTTTTTATCTCTCAGATTCTCACATCTGGTTAATACAGTCCTCAGTTCACGTTGTTATGGACTCATGACAGTTCTGGACTTCATGAACCTTACTTAAGCCTGAAGGTAAACCTCCTGTCATCAGGCACCTGTGGATTCTCTATTTGCCCTTAATGTTATCTGTTGCTATTCATAGTGTTTTTTCTTTTATTTTATTTTCAGTCATGTGATGCAGTGATCTAAGTTCAGTACAGAAGAGTCTGTTGGGCTGCCAAAGCCAAAAGACAACCTACAGCAATTCTGAGTGGTGGAAGAGACATAGCAACCTTTGGGATTATTGCTTAGCAACTGCAAACACACAGAGGAGTAAAACTCACAGCCTGGCTCCACAGCAGGTCTGAGAAATCCCTAATTCACTTTAAGATTTTTAATGGTTGAGAACAGATGGGTGTATATTTAATTCCTGTTCACTTGCAAAGCCACTTTGAAAGCGGGAGGAATAAGATCTATTTTGATACCTGCTCCAAAGGTAAGGAAAACAGTTCTTCAAAGCTTCAGAAAGCAAAAGAGAGTCTTTTTAAATTTTAATTGTATTGAAAAGACGATAATGTATGAATAGGGTACTGGGCTTTTTGTGATTGGTGAGATAAACATGCCGTATGAAGCATGTTAGGGAAAGGCAAAACTACTTCTGAGCGGTAGAGCGTCAGAGAGATCAGACTCTGTTTTTGAAAAGACTTTTGTAACTCAAACACTTCCAAAATATTTACCTTGACAAACTTTAGTCTTTCCTAGCCCTGTCCCACCCACCAAAATCCTAATGAAACCATAAAAATCTTATTTATGAGCAGATTTGGGTTTTGTACAGAAAATGGAGAGATAATCTTTCTGTACCTGCAGGGATTCCAGCAAGAACATTTCTCTCTCAGAAAAGGAGGCAGGAAAGTGGCATCCTACTAAATAATGAAAAGCTTATCTTGCCTTCAGCTTGAACAAAGGCTTACAGGAAACTTTATATCACATTTCAAATTTCCTGGGTGTTTCTAAAGCTTGTCTCTGTGCACCATGCTTACTATTATTTGGACAATCAAGCCTCCACTTGGGAATGCCATAGGCCTTGAGAGTTCCGTGTATTATGGGCCAAATTCTCAACTAATGTAAATCAGCACTGAAGTTCACAAGCCAATGGTGACTTACACAAACTGGAGGTGCGTCCCTGTAATCCTCGACAAATTCCAAGTTTCAAGGCCTGATTCTAGCACTCCTTTGTTGTTTATTTTAAGAGTTACGTGTTTTTTGTATGTTCTTCCGTACCCTCCTAGTCTGCTTTATCTGTCCTGCCTTAAAGCAGTGGCCATAGTTCTCTGTGCCCTGCTTCCATTCTTGGAGTTATGCGAATGCCATGGGATTGAGATAGAACAGTCACACTCAGTTGTTTTTTGTTTTGTTTTGTTCAGAGACATAGAGATACTTATAAACATTTACTAATCCTCAAAATCATCCTAACAAATGGTTGAGAGCAGTGTAGAAAATATATTCATCGTCATTCAGAATCAGCCACCTCATAAAGCAGAGTGCAGTTGTCACTTTAACATTGCACAGAAACTGCAGAGCAGTCTCATAAAGGATGTTAAAAAATAGCGTAAGTATTTGAAACTCCAAGAACAGTTTATTTTGGCACAACAAAACCAGTTGATTTGGAATGCGACCAGAACATTTGGTTAACACCCTGCTTTGAACCAGAAAGAGTCTGGTTTTACAGCTTATTGAAAGAAACTCACCTAAGGAAGGAACAATTTGACAGGGTTGACAGGTTTCCCTTTCTACCATTATAAATCTGGAGTCCTTTACAGCTCATGTCCTTTGGTGGCAAAACCAGCTACCATCTTAAAACTTGCTGTGTGGGTCAGGCAGGCAGCTTGATCCATAAATCCATCTCACTCCTGAGCAGATAATCATCTTTGAAAACAAATTACTAGAGGATGCCAACAAGCCCATCGAGAAAACAGACGAATTTAGTGCTGTGAAGTATCCTACCTATCCAAGCAATATTTAGACTCAAACAATGGTTATGAACCAGAAGGTCAACATATTAGTAATTACATTTGTGTGCCAGGAGGGCTGTAGATCACATTTATGAGTTTCCTGGAAGGCTGGACTCTCTTCAGAACAGCTACAAATGCTTAAACACGAAGAGCAAACCATATCAAAAGCAATGGTATCGCTATGGATACTGAAAGGCCTTAGTGCAAAGCACTTTTAAATAAGAGCTTGAGAAGGATAGTGTGGCAGCAAGGTCAGAGTGGAATTTCACCTTTAATTTGGAAAGGCGTTAGACTCCCTCTATTAATATCACCCTTCCCTTGCTGTCGTTTAACACTGAGCTGGTTTTTTTCGCAGCATGCAGGTGATTTGGATCAAGTAGTTGGGCAACATTGTGCTCTGTTCTGTATGTGTAAGTCCCATTACAGATGCAGTTATGCGTGGAGACATACAGCAATAGTTTTCAAATTGTGCCTTGTGAGCAATTCAGTTTCTTCCTGATATTTCACAGAATGAACATTTTGAGAAGAAAACAGTGATGTTTGGGAAATTGTGAAGGGAGATATCTGCAACTCTCTGTAGGTCTTTTACAGAATAATCTACAAGATCAAGTGCTTGTGAACAGCTTAATTACAGAGTTCATGGTATGGAGTTTCCATTTCTGTAGGAGCTCTGCTGACCCATACACCTGTGTCCTCGATACCTTAACAAAATGTCCAGAGGAAAAAATAGCTGCCAATAGCTGTTGAAATTAAGTAGTCTATGGAACAAGGTTCCTCACTGTTTTTCACAGCTACAGAAAAGATGAAGCAGAAGGTGGCATGTAGAGAAATCTTGCTTCTAGGCATCTGGTATTTTCCATTACTTGCTTCCTTTCTCTCATATCCACTGGATTTCCTGGAGGTATGCAAAGGGAGCTAAACAGAAATAATGATACTAGGGGTAAGAGGAATCCACTGGTTAGAACTGAGGGGACAAGACTTCCAAGCACTGTTCACCACTTGGTTTCTGAGTCTCAAAGTGACCTGGAATTAATCACTTCTCTTCTGTGTCTCAGTTTCTTCTCCCACAAGAAAGGAACACACTTATTTAGTTGCTCTGTCTCCAAGGGCTGTTGTGATACATAATTAATCTTTATAAATCATTTACTGATCTTTGAAGTAAAGGGGCTGTACTTATTTAAATGAGTGCAGAGCAGCAGTAACAGAGTAAGAGAGGAACATAGAAAAAAGAATATTAGATAATTCCTAACTATAGACTTTCTTCCTGTGTTATCTGCTAGGACACTGCTGCATCTTTTGGCATTATATAACATGCTGCTTTTCGTTCTGTGTCACAGCGATTGAGGTATGGCTGCTCAGCCAGAAGCAACAGCCCGAACTGCAGATCTAAACCATCCCAAACTTGGAGGCAAGAATATGACTGCCACAGAAATGAAGAGAAATCAAGGGAGCGATGAACTGCCGTGTCTTAGTAATTATGCTCCGTGGAAAAAGCGTTTTTATGAAAAGGTACAGCAGAGGTGTCTGGGTCTGCAGGAGTCAAAGGTGAAGATGACTCGTGCCCAAAAGGCAAGAGAAGAAAAGGTAAAAAAGAGAGAACCTTGTGACTGGCTGTCCAAAGAGTGGTTCAGTGAAGAGAAAGAGTCACTAGATACTTGCATCTATTTGCTTGACAAACTCCTGCCTACATTAATCCCAGGAGTGGAAAAACTGTTAATGGAAGTGGAAAGAAAGAATGTGCTTGCACCAGGCAAAGAACCAACTAAATTTAACCCCATTAATTTTCTTGGAGAATATCTGATGAGACATAACCCTCAGTATGGTACTTCTACAAAACCAGGCCCATACCTGAGAGGAATGAAGATGGTTACAGAGGAGCTAAAAACTGAGATGCCAGGCACAGCATCAGAGAGGTGAGAGAGTTGTAAGTGTGACTGGTCACAAGACCAGAGCTGGTGTTTTGGTCTCTGTTTTACAAAAGGAACGGTGTGACAGCAGCCTGGCTGGTGAAGGGTCGAGCACAATGAACCTTGTGGAGTACAGTGCCAGAGATGGCAGTTGTCTCTCATAAAAACTTGAGAAGCGGGACAAATGCCAGAACATGTCACACAGAATGAAACACTAGTTATTCCTGTTTAAGGCAATATTCTGCCCTTTACAAGTACATAATTTCTCTTTAGACTCTATCTTAATTACATATGTGGAATACAAACTGCTTTCAAACCGGTCTAGGTTAGTGACAGCAGTTCTTTAGGACAAGTGTTAGTATCAAATGTCTGTGGACTCTTCAGATCATTTCTGCTATATTCTTCCAAACTTAATAAAGAGATAACCTTCTTTTCCTCCTTCAGGATGATTTGTCTTGACCAAACCAACAACGATACTGTCCTGGCGCATCGTAGAAACTCCTTCTCCTGGGATTTTTACTTTAGCCTTTCCTTTCAGATCCTTCTTTCCTTTTAAAGTAGAAACTGGTTTTTTTTATTTTATGTTGATTATTTGTGGGGTGTATTCTGAGCTGCTTGCTTTAGTGTAATATTTAATGAATATTGGAAGGGGGTTCCATGGCATCTTACAATATGCTAAGGTCAGAATGTGAGCGCATTAGGTGAAGAATAATGCTGTCATTTTAATCGCTTTATTCAGAAAAATATAGAAGTGAACATTTGTGGTTATAGATGACCCTGAGGTGATTGTGAATGATGTCAAAATTACTCATTCACTACTAGATCACTTTATTCTATATCTGTGTTTGTAGAATAATGACTTCTATTTGAATGGCTGTCTCTTCTATTTGCATAAATAGTACATACAGCTTGAAAATTGGTTTCAGGATTTCAGTGTCAGGAATTAGGGAAGTAAAATGTTGACACGTCTTATGCATAAACTCCAAATGAAGATAATTGAAGTTCCCAGTATTATAATGAATAAAATAATATGTTAAATTTCTCTCTACCACTCTGAGTTTCTGTCTCTGCATTTCCAGTCCACATGCTGTTACAGTGCATAGGAACATGCCTTGTGTGAATACAACTAAAGCAGTGTGATAAGTGAGTTTCATGCGGTCACTTGTCTCCTTTTTCCCCACAGATAAAAATAATTATAACTGACTGATCATGGTCAGTGTGTAAGAGCTCAGATTCTTGGCTTTTCTTCATAAGCAGACACACAATAGTACAACCAGAGTTGGTAAAAGACTTTTTATTTTTTGTTTTTTAAATGCTGGTACACTGAAACAAATGATTTTGTGAAACATCATCTTTTTCAGTGAGCTTTCACTCAAGCACAGACTGTTGTGGGGGGTGTTTAGGATTCCAGCCGCGACACACCTTTGCTTTGAGGACTGTTTCACCATTCATATTGCTTCACAGCGGGAAACCTGGATGCAGGAAGTTCAGAACCATATCTCATTTTTATTTTACAAAAGAAATTGAATTAAAATACATGAAATTTCCTGGGGTTTGGGGTTTGGGATTTTTTGTTTGTTTTATTTGATCCCCCCCTGCTAAAATACTCTTAGCTTTCATTGTGAATCAGAGCTTATTTCTGGAGAGGTCAGATTTTCCTTGGGAATGCAAAATATTGGCTACCAGTGCCGTTTTATCTTGGCCTTGTCTGTTAAATGTTTACATTTGGAGACAGGTTCTCAATTTGTAGCTGTATCAGAGCTGATGCAAAGGAAATCAATCTCTGTAGACAGCACTGCCACGGGGGTTTACATATCTGTAGCGTGTTTTGCATATCCACTGGTAGTAGTATCATGGGATTTGCATTCTCAGCAGCTCAGGATTTACATATTTGTGATGGCTGTATCGTGGGATTTGCATAGGATTCTTAAACCGCAGCAGCACAGAGGATTTTACTGACACCATGTAGCACTGAGACTCCTAATGTGAGTCACTGGCTTTCTAAACAGGAAAAAAATGTTATAAGAGAAATGCCAGTCTGTGCTCAAAATCTCTCACATAAGTGCCAGAAAGATGAAGAGTGAAATTCTGGCCCCAATGAAGCTCCCAGGAGGCTTGACATTCCCTTCAGGAAAGGCAGGATTTCACCATGGGTTCTTCTCTAAAGCTTACCAGTCCCCAGTGAGCTCGCTCAGGCTTCCTCCAGTCTCTCCTTAACTGCACCTGGCTGGGAGTCAAGGCATGCAGGAGAACAGATGGGAGAAATTCCTTATCCAAACAGATTGATACCTGAAACAGAGACTTTTATTTGTCCAGGGATGTAGTCCTTCAGTCTGAGTCACCCATCCTTGTGTGGGAGTTAGGCGGCTGTCTTCCTGAAGAAACATGTTTCATTCTGCAGGAAGAAGTCACCCTTCCTGCCATCTCATCTTTTCTGGAAATATCTAACACTGAAATGAGCCCACTTTGAAATGAGTGCCCAGCACTGTTACAGCCTGTTTTGCCATTGTTGTCTAGAGGGGGAACGTTTTGTCCCACAGCAGGGACACCAGGCAGAGGATGCAGCTGCCTGGTGGATTAGGACCCTAGAAATAAATGCAAAAGGTGCAGCACACAATGTAACTTGTGCAGAGCACTGCCCAAATTAATCACTGGAGCACCTCAGCAACTCATATGTGGCCCTAGCTCTGCTTTCAGCTTGCAGACCGCTCCTGAGGAGCTGCAGCTAGAAATGGTCTGGATTTCTCTTTCTGTCTGTAGCATATATTGGAGAAAAATCTGTTAGTCCATTTAGCTTGGTACGTGCTCCATATCTCCTCTTTGCTGTGTCTGTGAAGGAGTCAGAAGAGAGGAAATTACTTTACCCTTCCCTTGCTACCAAAGTGCCTGAGGCTGAACTGCCTCAGCAGGCACTTGTGCAATGCCCACGACTGATTAAGGAACCCAGTTATTCATTAAGAAACCTCTGTGATAAGTGGCCATGAAGAACAAGTATCTACTGATAAAACTGTGACTATGATCCAAGTGTATCGCTGTAACATGTTAAATGGGCCTTTCTATTCATTAAAGAAAATATTGTTTTATAATTTCTAGGATAACCCCATAGGAACAGAAGAGAGCAGGGACGGGATCAGTGAAACGCAGGGGAAAGAAGGGAGCAGAAATTTTTAGTTAAAATGCAGTTTCTGGACTAGTGTGTTCTCAGGTACGGAAGAGGAGTGGTTCCCCTTCCTCTGAGTAGCTATAGAGGGTTAAGCGAGAGCCGCAGAGGTGAGCAGGGCAGCTGTCCCAATGCAGAGAGATTCCAGCAGCCTCTGGGAGCAGGAACTGTTCTCCCCATGTGAACTGAGCCTTTGGCTTTAAGAGTTTTGAACTTCTGAAAGGCTTCCCCCCCATTTCCTAAATGAACGAAGTCAAAACCAAAGCAGATGAGTTCTACAGCATAGATTTTATTTAGTTCTTTTGTTGTGCAAAATGGAGGATTGAGAAAAACATGGCTGACTGATTAGAGAAGCAAAGAAAACGGAAGGAAAAGGAAAGGGAGATACTTTTAGTCCAAGCTTGTAAACTCTATGTGTTCAAAATGACAGAGAGGTTGGCGTATTATCCCTGTCCTAAGGCAGTAAGGACTTTATTGTGTGAGACCGCTTAAGAAATTTCACTGAACGTTGTTCTTTGCCAGTGAAGTGCTCCTGTGAAATGGTACTTAGGCTTTGAGATAAATGCATACTGAGGCAATTTTGTTGGTAAATCAGGTGTAGCAAAATTAGGCACCTGTGTTCCTGCTAAAATTGAAAGAAAATTGAAGGACATCTACACAATAAATTATTAATGCCATTATAAATGTGAAGGTAAAATTTATCACTGCTGAAACTACTCAGGAGAGCCGTACAGATGATTTTCCCTTAAATGTCCTCTGTATACTCTACAAGAGGCTCTGTCCACATGCGTGTATCTGCCACTCAGAGGTTACTTCTTCAGATTCATAGTTATACTAGATTTCAGGAGATGATAAATGTCAGAATATAAATACTCTCACCTCCATGGAGCTGCCCTCTGAAAACACAGATTACTAATATCTAGTCCACTAGTCACACTAGTAATTTTGTGCCCCAAACACCACATATTTCTTTGGAAAAAGAATTTGCTTGTACTAGGACAAGGATTCCTTTCCTTTTGTTTTTCAGGGTAGGCTTTATCTTAAATATGTTTACGATGGTATCTTTCTAAACCATATTCACGTGTCCTACAGGCTGGCGAGGATGAGGTCTGAGGCAAAGAACAAGCGCGAGGAGAGGGAGCAGGTGGACAATATGAAGTCTCAGGTGAAAGAGATGAGAAAGGAGGCGCTGGCAATTCAGTTCAAAGAGTGGACAGCGGATGTCAGTGGCAGAATACCGGTTGCACTGGTAACTAAGGATGATCCTCGCTAACACACTGCTATGATTGTTCTAGACAGGAGGAAAAGGAATTTTGTGACAGTGCTGCCCTGGCATGGCAGCATGCGGCACAAGGATGGGTAATGGCTCTGACATCCTTCAGGGCCAGGGTGCAGGTTGCTGTCTGCCATGTAGCCTCACCCTGATTCCCCACAAGCACGTGGAAGATTTGCGATGCATTCTCTGTAGAGGTCCTGGGAAGCTAAGTGCCCCGTAAGGTGCTCAGACACTCCTGACGTTGTTGGATACATACCTCATCACTGGATGTCCTTCTCTGCAGAATCCTCAGAATCCCCTTAAAAAGGTCCAGGGCAGCCACTCTTGCTCTTCTGTGGCCTCCATTAAATCTTCTTTCTGCCCCTGTGACTCACACAAATTGATACTGCAGCTCATAAAAGATGAGATTTGCAGTAATTGTAATACATCTAGTGGTACAAGCATCTTTCTTACAGGTCACACAAGGCCCCTAGGAAATTGTCCTGTGGTTACACACAGCACAACACAGACAAGGTCTACATTTAACAGGGCCCACCTATGTGTGATAAGAAGTATTGCTGGCCTGTAAGACTAATTATTCCGGGTGATTTATTTTCATAATTGCCTACTGTTGTCTGCATGAAACAGGCCTTTGACCATTACCTTGATTTGTAGGTTCAGAGTGCCCTGAGGTCTTTTCCAGATGTCATTGCTTCTACACCCATAGAGGTGAGAAAAGGTAAGTTTGTGATGTGTTTCCTTTAGTTTTATATGTGGTCTGAATTCTGATGCAAACTGTGAGCAAACAGTGAATGGATTTGATAATAGCGAAAGAATCTCTAAGGGTAGTTACATCAGCTAGGATACTAACCACAAATCTTCAGACAGATTGGAAAGAGACTGAACCACCATGTGGTTCATTAATATGATCCTGAAAAGTATGGAAAGAAGTTTAAAAAATCTTTCTGAGACGTAGAAAGATGAGATGCAGGCTCTTTCCACTTAACATCCTGCATTAGCCAGACATTGCCATGTGCTTGTCATGATTTTTAAGAATCACTGTAACAACCTCCCTCATCTACTCTATCCCACGGTGTTGCTTTTCTCATGGGAGGTCTTGGAAGTCCCATGGACAGCTTGGCACACTGGGAGGTATGGAGGAAAGGTAGGATTGAAAAAAATGAAAGCCTGACAGTGTTGTTACCTTTTATGGTTTCAGGGAAAATGCTGCAGCTTACCTAATGCTCCACCAAAGCACACATCTTTGTGTTCCCTTTGCTAGTCCCAGGCATGCCAGTGACACACAGCGCAGCGGCACTCGGCACAGAAAGGATTTCCGTAATTCCTGTCCGCTCTACATAGCTTACACTTGACCTCCCCGAATAATGATTGAATAGATAGACCCAGGAACATTGAAGTGGCAACATACAGCCTGCTGCCAGCCCTTTACATCGATAGCCTGTAATGATCATCGATAATAACAAATCTGCCTTTGCTGGAAGATGGGATGATAAGCAGGGACCCTCCGGAGTGCATTCC